GCGGGGTTGAGCCGGGCGGGTAGTAATAGCTGGAGGACCCCCGAGGGGATGGAGTTGGCGTTGCCGACTGGTATCGCTCCCGGGCGTAGTAGTACTCGTCGGGAGGAGATCCGGGGTAGGGGGATGAGTAGGCCATGTTGACTGATGGCTCTTTGTGGCGAGGTCGATGGGAGGCGTCCACGGTATTCTTCAAATCTGTCTTCTACTTTTTCTTCTCTAGCAGCTTCCTCTGCTAGCTCTCACGACTCCCCCCAAAATGTCGGTAGGTTGTGTCGATGCGGATGGTTGTGATTCCAGGGCGAGGGTGTCGCGCCGATGTCGAGGCGCGAAGAAAAGGTGAAGCAAGTCACCTCGGTATGCGGTCGGATGATAGAGGAGAGGAAGTTTGTCTTCTGTGCCCGAACATGACCAAGTTTGATATAACTGCTACAGGTTACCCTCGATGACCAAGGATGGAAACCAGATTACCGAGCTCGGGAAGGAATCTTCTCGACGTCGGTAGTGTGTGATGAATGGAAGTTGCTGGAGGCTTCTCGGAGGACGCCAGCGAAGCAACGAATGACGACTCTTTTGTCGAGGATGGGTTGAAGGTGGTTGGTAGCCGAAGCCGAAGCTGTGAATGTCAAAGAATATTCATTGATTGGCAGAAGCCAAAAACATGAGAAGAGAGGAGAAGTTCAAGAGTAGTGGTGAGGGCAGCGTGGTATTTAATTACTCGGTGCGTTTTCCCAGTTTTTGTGGGAGAGGAGAAGGGAGGAGTGGGAATGCGCGCGAGAGAGGTCCACAGGGGGTGGTAGTCCAAAGTCTCGCAAGTCTCGCACCAGGGCGTGATGGCCTGCCCGGAGGAACCAAAGCAGCTCCCTTTTCTGATCCCTGTCCCCTGCTGCAGAGAAGGACAGGGGTGGCAGGGGTGGCTGGCTTGCCTTAGCGTAAGAGCACACGGAACCTGGCTCCAATTTAGAGCGCCCCCTCTTAGGAGGGAACACAGACGACAAGTTCCTGGAGGGGGGCGTGTCCCTATGGCTCGACTTCCAACAAAGTACCTCGTTCTCGCCGCTGTTCTGCGCTGTTCTGCGTTCTCTGTCCTGCTTGCTCAGCTTTGGTGGTGAGTAAAGGGAGAGGAGGGATCACTCACACCTCGGGACCCCGGTCAGCTCGCCGCGGTGGGCGGATAGATGGATGCTTGATCGAGAACAGTAGATGGCAGCTCCCAATGAATATTCTGATGCTTTGCCGCTGCTGCTGGGTACTCCCTTTTGCAACACCAGCCTCCTAGGCGAAGACCTACACCGTACGGTGTCGACTGGACCCCTTTTACACGTTGGGTGAACGCTTGTCTCTCTCCCTGGCTTGTTCACCTCTCGGCGATAGACCAATAGACACTCCGTTGTCTGGTCTTGCGTCTCTGTTCGTCCTTCGTTTGTGCGTTTGTTCAAAATCGCGCGGAAGCGAGCAGCGACTCAGATCCTCAGACTGTCCAAGCCCTTCAAGTCCGTGGTTCAGCCAGCTGTCGCGACGCACCAATGCGCAGACCACCTTAGGCTGCTTCGCTGGGGCTTACAAAGTTGCAGTAGTCGTGGTCGACAACGACGGTGATGATGACTCCAGTCTAGTCGGCCACAGTCCCGGTCAGAACATGTCAATCACCGTTGTGCAGCGTACTCGTGGCACAGCTCGATGCAAGTGCGCTTTGGTTCGCTGCTGACTCGAAAGAAGCTCCTGGAAATAGAAGACACACACACACGATCGCGCCCCCAAAGGCACGTCCGTGGAAATAAGGGGTGGCAGTGAAGAATGCACCTCGTCGTCCAGGCCACCTGCGTTTGCCTGCAGTCGCCCTTTGGCCTGCTGCAAGTTGCAACTCGATTCCCAACGTTGGGCACTGGCGCTGGATCCCTTTGACTGCTTTTCTGATTGTTCGAGTCACCGTACCCGGCTAATGACACACACTTTCTCTCCTCTATCTCGGCGGTCTAAGATGATTCTGATCGATGTCCTAATTGAACCTTCCACATTGGTCTTTCGCCGGGGTTGGAATGGGAATGAGCAGGCCCTCGCCCACCGAAAGGTGAAGATCGATATTCACACCTTGACGCTGAAATTAGCCACACCAGTATCAAAATCCGGTCACCGCTTCTGATAGTGACTCCGGCGCCTTAACGGCCGGGGGGATTTAACACCCTGACCACACAGGCAGACTCAGGACTGGGAGGCCTTGTCGTTTCAATGAGTCGACGCCAACGTCCGTGGGACCCCCGGCTGGCGGTTCCTAGTCCCCGGGCGCAACTTTTTCGTGGAAGAGCAAGAGGGGCGAGGGGCACCAGAAAAAAAAAGTTCCAGAGATAAAGCCCAGTGATCCTTGTGAAAGTAGGCGCTGCCGTGTGGGTAAATTTACCGGTGACGAGTAAGCGAAATTGGGTCCTCGCACGAACAGGCGTGGAATTTGAATTTTGGAGATGGCTTCCACCACACCAAAAGAGAGACGGAAAAAGGTCTCCAACGGTGCCACGGGGGAATCTTACCGGGCCAGTGCCGCTAGAGCGTCCTAGGTGAAAATTTTTCTCGTTCCCCTGGCGTAACGTGGCTGGCCGCAGTCTGGTCCTTGATCATCCAACACAGGGTTGCAATTGTTGGGATTCCGAGGGTGAATCACACCGTGTCAAGGTGAAGGCCACCGAAACACGAGCCCACCTGCCGACGACGAGCCGAAAAGGCTTGGAAAACTCAAATGGAGTTGTTGGTATGGAGATGATTTGGTGGTTTGGCTTTGCAATGTCGACGGGATTCCACAGAGAATCAATGGGATTCAGAATGGCATCGTGTACGACGATAGTCAATGTTTCGCTGACTTTGACTTTGCGCCCGGCCAGAGGTGTGAAGAGGATCGGCTCCCGAATTGGTTTGGGTGAGCCTGGTGCGTGTTATTGAAGCTGGCGGTGATGGTGATGTTTGCTTGTGTGGTCGTGGCCAGGTGCTGCCTGCTAATCTTGCTCCGTGCGCCCTCGGTGAGGCGGTTCGGACGAGCAAGGCAAGGTTGGCCGTTGTGGAAGAGAAGGACGGGGGCCTCGCGCTTGATGGATCCCAGTCGCGAGCCTGGAGGATGGATCAGAAATTTCTCTTCCTGTCCGCGATCCCCGGCAGCCGCACGTCTTTTGAGTCGGCGTCGAGTCGTGGTTGATTCGAACGTCCTGGTGGCAGATGAGATCTGCCGTTGCTCGAAATGAGCAAATTCAGTCCGTGGTGTCTTGTACCCGTATGGAGCGGAAGTTGGAAGAGCGGGACTGGACAAAGACGGTTCGCGGTTGATGGTTGCACGCCAAGAGTGCTGCACGGCGGGAAGAAGCTAAGAGCTGGGGTTTGTAGTATCGACTCGCTAGCTTGGTAATCTTGCCTGGAGTGAATGCTGACCAGGTGCTGACCGCTGACGCGACCGCGATCGAGCAGAGCAATAAGGTAGAAGCCGGCTATTCGATGGGTCGAGAGACTTTGGGAGCTCTCTAGAGAAATGTGCCGGCTGTCTAGTACAATAGTTGAACCCTTTTATCAGGACGAGTTGTATAGATGATGCGTTGGAGCAGGAGCAGGCAGCGGCGCTATCACCTACTTCGTATCAACTACCTATCCTCGGGATAGTGAAGCAGCAAATATAATGATGATGAAGCGTGGGCAAAACAGATGGATGCAGGCAAATGATGTGAAGTGGGAGAGAGAGGAAGAGGAGAAGTATTGAGGATGCTGCATTGCATGTGAGGACGGAAGGAGTCAGAAGGAAGGAACGTTCTTGTAGGTACTTTGACGAGGTAATTGCGCATAGAGGCAGGAGCAAGTCAGATACAAGAACACATGAGGAACATTCTGAGGTTGAAGCTGCAACGACGATCTACGGATCCCCAAAGCACGAATAGGTAGCTAACTATCCGTACGTGCACATTTGAGCCTTGCCCAGGGATTGCATGCATGATGGATCACGTTGGCATGGGAGGGGGAGGGGTACGAGTGGCTTTTGGGGATGACGGGCATCAAAGTGCAACTTTTATCAGATGAGATGCTGTGAAGCCATTTGCTGCGTATTTCCTCCCACTTAACATACCTCCCCCGCATCGCTAGGTAGTCACCTGGAAGTGTAGCAGGCACGACTGGGTAGTCGGCGTGTGCATAGAGAAAAAAATGAGCAAAGCCTCAACTATAGTGAGTTTTCTGTATGTACGGAACAGGTAGCTGATAATAAGTTGCACGTATTCACATCGTTGTGAGATTCACCAGTGAGAGGAAGGAGGCTCGTAGTGTGGTGTCGAGGTACGATATGGCAGGTGATGAATAGCTTGAACTGCAGCCAGTGACCTACGTTGTTTCTACCAATGTGCAATGTCAAGTGACTGGCGAACAAGCGCCCATTCAACATGAGGGTGAGCAGCTCTACAATATGGAGTATGACGATTGGAAAGGAATGATGCGTGACAGAGTGACATTGCGGAGGTTCGCATCTTGAGTGGAGGAGTTCGCTCATCACATGCACCCCAAGTCCCCCAACGCGGGGTGACGGGAGAGCGGAACATGCAGCAAGAGCCCAGTGATGGCCAGAATTGGCATGGTGGCCCCCTCCCGATTTTCTAGAACGGCCGTCCCTTCCCTGCACTTCCACGCCATTCGAATTATCGTGAGAGCCAATTAAGAGGAGGCAGCTTACCAAAGTATGCGCTTGCCCTCTCCAGATTTGCTGTGATCTTTCACCTACTTCCTTCCAGGTTGATTGCTCACCTAAGAGGAGCAACAACTACTATCTCAGGATAGAGAAGGCAGGAAGGACAACCTAGGTAGGAGGAAAGATTCATATTAGGTAAGGTAGTTGCGCACCTTCCGACACCACGACTCCAAAATGTACGTACCTCTTCATGTGGTCAACCACCGTTGGGCGTCACCTCGGGACATCAACGTAATGTTCTCCACGAACATCATGGGAACCATTGGCAACATCAAGAAACATCAAACAAAATATACCGTTACGATGTATCGTTCCGATTCCCAGCCAGAAATTTCGGGTGGCCGCATCCTCGGACGACGGCTATTGTCAATACGAATATCCGTACATGCCCCTGCGTTAGAGCGTACGCCACAGCTGGGATGAACCCAAGAGCATCCCCAACTTGAAAGTCAATCACGTACTTTCTTGGCATGCTAAGTTACAGTGCGTATGCAGCTTTTTTGCCTCCTCCTGTCCATCAATCCTTCTAGTCTCCAAACTCTCTTCTCAGTGCTCATATTCGTCACTGTCGCACACTCAATGACTCTTGCTCAGGGCCCATATTGCCTCTCCCGCTACCATTCAGCTCCGACCGTACGGCACTGCTTGTATCAGACTCCACAATCGCCGGAGCTGACTCGAAGGCGAACACAAATTGCAGGCCAACCAACGGGACGGAAGACCAGCGGCGGCGACCAGGAACGACGCATGTGGATACTCTCCTCGCCATGCTCCATCGAATGGGATTCATTCCAGACTCAGTGGCCATGACCTCAAACAACTCCATCCAGTGAGTGGCCCAGAACTGGCACTACATCGCCAGTCGCTAGCTTTTGGTTTCCTCTAGCCCACCAGCCCTCTGGAGTCAAATCCACCATGTTGGGCCCTCCGGATGAACTCGAATACTTTCCCCGTCGCTCCTCGCCCCTCACGCCTCCATCGACTACTACCGACCAAGTCTGCCATTCAGCCAGACCCAAACCGTTATTTGTAGCCCCTTTCGAATGTTGGGGTTACTTGTCACGGCTTGCCTCCTTCAAGACTCGGTCCGCCACCAGCTCGTCATGGCGTCCTCCCTCTACCGACCTGCCCGCGCGTCCCAACTTCCAGCCTCCAGGCGGCCTCACTTCACCTTGCCTACCGTGGCCAGTGTTCCCGGTGTACGGTGTACGGTGTATGGCTCCCGGTGTACGGTGTCCGGTGTACTCGGCCAAATATCTCCCCTCACCCCTGCGCGTGGTTCCAGCTGTCAACAGAGGGTGAAAGGGGGAGGTGGCTGGAGAGGCCGGCGATGGTCTTGTCTCACCTTGGCTCGCTTGCTACACACTGGCCAACTAACCCAAAATTTGCCAAATTGTGGCCGCTCTCGGGCCTGGTATTTTTGTCCGGCATCTACAATTTCGCTCACATTCATTGGCTTCTCACCTCACATCCTCGTTTGTTTTTATTGATCTTGCTGATCTCAGAGGGCAACGCAATTGGCGGGCAGTAGGCAGTGCACCACGACCCTGGTCCATTGCGGCCCAAGCAGCTGCTCACCCAAGCATTGGGTGCCAACAAAAATCACTATCAACAAGCTGGATTTCACGGCAAAAGTCCTGACCTCGTGTTCGTCATACCATCCTAGACAAACTATCGGAGGGATTGTCCTAGGATTTCCCTGGGAACATGAGGCTGGTTATCACCAACTCTATCCACACTTACACCTATAAACTGCTTCAATAGACTCCAAGTTCTACAGGCATTGTTCACCGAAACAAATGTCTAGTGGTCCACAGCAGGAGAGGAGCGCTGTAAGGGATCGCAAGGACGTCTGCGACTATGCATCTGTCAGCCTTCGGAAGCGACATGCCCCGATGTGTCCTGCCCTAGCAGCGTGCTCAGCTAATGCAGCCACTGAAGGAAACCTATACCTCGATCCTTTTCAGTCGAGGATGAGCTAGGGCCGGGCAATCGCTGCGAGCAATACAGGCGACAGGCGCCTTGGGATCGCAAGTGCAACGATTTGAACCCCTGGAATGTCCATGTGGTCTTTTGCCCGATGCGCTGCGATGTGTAGGGCAGGGCATGCTATGAGCCTCTGCATCGACTCGGCTCACCCTGCGAAACTGCCGCCGTGGTCTCATCGGCCATTGCTTTCGTACGCATATGCACTACCGTTGTCGTGGCTCGGCCTGGCCTACGGATACAAGCCCTCGGACGACCTGAGTCGCGTCGTGTCGGTCTTGTCTTGCACCAAGCAGCCTCATGTCTCGGCCGATGTCTTTTTCTCTTCTCTTCTTGTCCGTGCTCATCCGTCTCATCTCTCACCCGCTTCACGGACAACTACATCGAATCAATACCTGACTATCTATACGGAGCAAGTACACGTCCGAAGAAAGGGGACCATCCGGGAGTAGGCGGCAGGCAAAGTCAATTCGATATCAGCATTCCTCGCCCGGCCGAGTCCCAACGCAACATCTCACCTCAGAGGCAACCGGCATCAACTTGAATTCTTTCCCGTTCCTCACCGATAGCCACCGGTACCCCGGCATCGCCAGGTCTGACCGAGATCGACTTACACGTCCATTTCATGATTCGTCAGTCGTATCCGTACTTGACTACCCGTATTACTCCATACTGTCAGTTTTACTGTAAGGAAGTGAATGCCACTAGTCAAGACTTCGGCGTCCTCGACTCCATCAGTCCGGTTTCTTGACCGCATATTTACAACCACAGTCTCGGTTTGCTCCATCTATCGACGGGCCACTTGTTTGGGGCGAGCCACTGAGATGGGAAAATTGGCCTGTTTTGCATCTCGAGAGGATATCGCCAGGCCATAAGCTTCTGATGCCCTGCCTCTTACACGCCCCTTTTCCCTGCTCCCTGCAGCGCAGGTGCATAGCGAGCGAGATAGCGTCACACAGGCTGCTGTTCCTAGCGTGCCGGGTGGAGTTGATGGAGGTTGCAACATTTCGAACACCCTGCTCCAGCTCCCCTGCTGCAGTTGGAGACGGTTCCACACCGGTCCAGCGTCTCCCGTCTCCAGCATTGAACGTCTTCTCCGAGTCCTCGACCTTGTCTCTCATGGAGTCCACCCTTACCCAGCCGTCTGGCTAGATGCCGCGCGCGCGCACGCTCTGGCGCTGGCTTGTGACGACAGGGCTTCGGTGCGTCCTGGATCTCGCTTGCTAGGTTCGCTTCATCCCACGGTTCCCACCACAAGGAGAAAAAAATACCCTTTTTCTGACTATTATTTTGTTCTAGAAGACGGCAAACCTCTTGGGCATTCCCTTCACCTGCACTTCACCGCGGGCCGCAACACTCGGTGAGTGGCTCGAGGCCGGGCCTTGACCGTAACCTTGGCTTGTCTGTTTGTTTTTCTTTCCCCTACCGACCGCACCATGGGAAGACTTGATTGCTTCCCTGCATGTTGTTATTGTTGTCATTGTTGACCCCCGTCGGCTAGTGTCAGTGTCGGGTGTGTGCGAGTGTGCCCTGAGTCCCCGACTCCAAGACTCCCGAGGTGCCATGCGCGCCCATGCGGCAGGTTGCGCCAAATGTTCTATGTGCGTACTGTAATTTGCTTTTTTACCCGGCACCGATGTGAAAATTTTTCATCTCTCACCGAGAATAGATCACGTCTCATTTCACTCCCTGTCTCTCATCATACAAGACCACTCTCCCATCATGCCAGCCCTACTACCATGCCATAGCACCAATTGCGGGAATGGGACGGTCGCTGCGGAGTGACTCATAGGAGTGCTCATCAGGGCAGGCCATACTACACCAAACGAGGTGTGCAGAGTGTGGTGTGCGGTGTGGGAAAAGGAGTGTAGGAGAGAGAAGGAAGAGTGACAGAGAAGCGCGCTACGGAAAGCCTCACGTGGTCGGTCCCAACATTTACGAGTCCCTGCTGCACTGCTGTCCAACAGCCCAAGGCTGCCGGCCTCCTTGCTGCACCTATCAAACTTCCTCGAAGCCCTTCTAAAGGTCACCCAAGTGAGGGCCTTGGTGCTGATTGGGTGTCAATGAACACGTCGCACCGCGAACTTGACAGAATCCCCTCCTCCTCCTCCGGCGCACCAGCCCGTATAGCCAGTCAAGTTGATGGTCGGACGGCCAGGGCCGCTGGGAGGGGACGCTACTGCACTACGAAGGGCCGCATCCGCATCCCTAATCCTGCGGCCGGCAGGGGTCCACCGCATTTTGCATTGTCTTCCCGGCTGCTTCATTCATTCCCGTCATCTTCGACTCTCCGTCTCTCCGGTCACTGGCGTCTCTGGGTGTTGCTCCCCTAACCCAACACCTCCGATGCATTGCAACCATTTGACGACCAGCTTAGAATCGCACCCACCCACCCTTTTGATATCGAAACACGCATCAAATACCCACTGGCGATGCCCTCACTGACGTCTATTCGCCTGTATGCCCACCGCCATGCAGTCCGCCCATGTTCATCCATGATCGATGCTGCCGAGCCATCAAATATATACACCACCGCCCTCGTCCACTGCTCCGCCCTTCATACAAAACCCACGCCCTTCTTCGACCAATACCGTTGAGACTGACAGCCACTTTTGACCAAAAATAGGCAAGGACTCTGGCAACCGCCTTGTTATTCTTCTTTTCCTTCCTTGCTATCTTCTCTTCCCGGCACTCCGGGCCCAGACCGCAAATGTGACAGGCGCAACGCGAAAGCCCCTCCTCACCGACTCTTTGCGTCCATGGCAACCACCCTATCATTACCGCATTCCACCTTACGGACTGGCGGGGCACTTGCATGGCATTGCATGTCGTTGCAGATGCGAAGGAGGGAAGAGGAGGGGTTTCTGCTGCTTCATGCCCTATTTTGACTTTTTTTTAGTCGTTTCTGCTTTCCTTCTGTTGCGCAGTGGTTCAAACGAGAGAGAGAAAAAATCCCCGCTGCCCCTGGTTGGGTTGAAGATGCCGCATGCGCCTGATGACCATTGACAGGGTCATGTTAGGGCTCGGTGACGTCGACGACGCGCACAGAAGTATCACCTTTAAGGCTGTACAATTATACGATTGTTCGAGCCAGTATCAGGTGGTCTCCAGTGAGGCCATCGCCATCACGAGACGGTGTGGCGCGTATGGATTTGCTAATTGTGGTGGTATCTCGGACGTATGACAATTGGACAACACATACACATTGTCACTAAGAGGATCAGCTCACCTACACGGAGAGCGATAATAGCACAGAAGCCGAGCTTCCCATCGTTCTAGGGTTCTGCTAAGCCTCTGGCTGATCCTGTGATGGATTCGGACTACGATCCCCTCTCACCCCGGGGCTACGGTACAAGCGACAAGCGAGAAGCGAAGAAATGCGGGATACAACGTCTTGCTGCTCGTCCTTTGTCTTTGCCATGCAACCAAGTGGGAACAAGTATAGTGGAAACTGGAAGAGAGTCGCGCCTGTTTCGACGGTGGATCGCGGGTGCGGAGGAGCGGCACTGGTTCTTGCTCTTCTCAGCTTCTTTCCTTCGCTTCGGTTGGCGGAGTGCATCATCAAGGGCTGATCATGAGCGGTAAGCGGCAAGACCGCGACGGATAAAGTTGTCCGTCGATATCCTAGACTCCTAGTGAAGAGATCCAAGGCCCCTGCTCCAAAGGCCCCCCCCTGGCTGTTTGTGTATCAGTAGACCGATAGGAAGGGCGGCCGGCCGGCCGGTCGACCAGCCGCTGTCTGTTCTCACGATACCTCCCCTTGCCAGGCCTTCTCGCCGGGTTCCTCTTTGATCGTCTTCGCATCCACGTTGTTCTGGATTCGTTGAAGATGCTGAAGATTTCCTTGATTTTCCGTGCGTTTGAGCTGCGAGGGCCCGGCTCCGTAGACCTGTGGACAACGCATCGATGGACAGGGTTGCGGCAACGGGCGAGCGAAGCCTCAGCACGCCTCACGCCGCACGCCGCACGCGCTTGCTCCTACGCCTGCGCCTAGGACCATGAAAGAAGGAGGAGGCATATGTAGGAAGTACGGAGTATGCTTCGTGACGGTAGGGGACGGCAAGCCAACGGATGGTGCCCTGGTCCCGTCTGTCGCCCTGCGCTGCGCTGCGGTCTGCACGCCTTGCCGCAACGTCATGCATGTCTGTCTGGCTTTTATGGTCTTGGCTCTCTCTTCTGCTTCGACAGTTCGACTGACCTTGATGGGCCCCGCTCCATTATCATCCTGGACGCACGCCGGGCGGTGGCACCTTATTCCAAATGGACTTGCTTGCGTTTGCCGGGCAGTACACTACTGGGTGCATAGGCATCAGGGCATGGCCCCCCTTGTTCCAGTCTAAGGGCAGCAGCTTTATGGGCCAGATCACCCTATCGAAAGAGGGATGAGGATGCCTACGGAGTAGCCTTTCCCTGGACGATGGCTGCGGTGGCAGGACTTGAGCTGGACTGCCCGGACTGTACATAGGACTGGGGCTAAGGTAGGTTGGTACCGAGGGGGTGGAAGGAGGGTTTCTCGGGGGAGTGTGCATGGCCAGGGCTTTTGCAGAGGGTTTTCGCTGAACAAGAGGGGCATTTGCATTTGTGTTCCACTGGTGAGTGTTTATAATTCGTTGTTGGAGGTTTTGGGTTTTGCAATTCTCTTCAATTTTGGGGTGCATTTGATCTTTTTTGTGAGAATTCGCGAATCAGTGTAGCGACTTGCTGTGCATCGGAGGAGGGGTTATTTTGGAGGAGGGGGGTTTTTCGATGTCAGGGCTGGTGATAAGTGTGAGGTGACTGGTCCGATGGGATGGGATCTGGGTTGAGCCAATGAGGGTTGTGGTATATGGGTTTGGGACTTGCGGTCTGGATATCCATCCGTTGTCTTGGAGATGCCATCAACTGATTTCTAGCCCACAAACCAAGGGGGCCCCCGACGGGGAAGACACTATTTCGACACGCCAGAGGAGTATCGCCGAGCCTGAGAGGAATCGAGGTTCACAGACTTCCCTTCCTCGGGAAGACAATGGCTCCGTGGGATTCAAGTCTGAAGCCAGGTGACCTCAGCTCGCACTTGTTCATCGTCCCGACGCAATCACGGGAAAAGCGAGAGCGAGATGGCCGAGGGCCGCATCATCACCGCGAAGCCACTCACAGCAGCAACGTATGTGTAGGTACGCAGTATACGGATACCACAGCCTCGATTTGGCATGTCGTTGAAAGACGCGCGCGTACGAAACAGGTACCACCGGTGCACCACCGATGGCCAGACTAAGAGTACAAAGTGCAAAACCCAGGCCCAAACGCCACAGCCGGCCGATGTACCCCAAACACCTGGGTCCGGATAGGTCGAGGATGGTTGGTCAGGGATGTGGTGAGGTAAGCGATCCCTGGAGACATGTGGCTTAGCCTTGGCTTCGTAATCCTTGTCAATGTGGCACAGTTCCTCTCTTTCCCTGAAGTTCCAGGGGACCAGCGGTGATGACGACCAATGAAAAGCTCGGATGGACGGGCATTTCGAGATTCGCCACCGACCGGTGCCCCCGTCGTCCGGATCTCCCGCGTGCGAGGCGGGTCTCCGGGATTTCGGGTCGCGCTGAAGAGAGAGACACGCAAGGGGGCAAGGGGCAAGGGGACGTAAAGTCTGTCCGGACCTCAACACCCCCTTTGAGGATGTTGTGACTCTTTTTTTCTGTGGTGTTCTATAGAGAATGACAAATGGTGATATCAGGTTGCGATACCCAACGGAATGGAATCGTGGTGGTACTTGCGATGGAATGTATCTTTTGGATGATGGGGAAAAGGACACGCCCCCTCTGAGGTAAGTCACTCAAGTACCGGCTTTTGCTCCATGTTTACTGGTGAATTTGGTACCGCGTGGGTTATGACGCAGCGTTTGACAGAAGTGCGCCGAGTGCGTGGTGCGTGGTGTGAGTGTGAGTGTGAGTGTGTGGCGGACTCGGGCTGCACTGCGAAAGTTCCAATCCAATCTTGGGCAGCAATATCTGAGAAAAAAACACGCTGCCACCATGCACAATGAGAGAGGCATGCGCGCCTGCGCGCTGCACCACGACCAGGCTGCATGCTGATGCGAGGTAAATCGACAACGCATTTCATTGGAAATTTTTGCAAGCCGGTGTCGTGGTCTTTTTTCTTTCTTTCTGCCCTCTTCCTTTCCTTTCCTTCCTCTCTTCTACGAGGTGAGGTTGAGTCCGAGAGTTGAGGTAAGGTACCTGAGGGTTTTCTTTGGGCGGCAGGGGACCGTGGGGGGCTAGATCGATCCATCTGCTGACGAATGTCGCAATCTTTCAAGATTTCGATTGCGATTTCGACATTTGGGCGATGGATTGACAGCTGGCATAAGGTAAGGTGAGGTCAGGTAAGGTATAGTGAGTTGTCTGTATTCTTTACCGTGCTTTTTTGATTCTCTATTCTGAGTTTTTTCACCCCTTCGGTGACATGTATGTGGCCTCGCTGGTGCTACATCTCATCGCCGAAGCACCGCTGACGCGAGGCGTCTTATCTGCGACTTTTCTCACCTTTCTAACGCCCCCAATCTCCGAGGCGTTGCGTGTGGGTGGTTGGTACAAGACCGCCGGGTGCACCATTACGACTATCACGCACCCGAAAACTTGGGTGTGTGATTTGTTGGCGCTGAGCGCACACACCTTGTGACTCACACCTGGAATCTTTTCTTCTCCGAGGTGCCCGGTTCAACCAATCTCCCTTTTCTGATTTACTCGCTTTCACTCACGGCGTGTCGGGAAAGGGGAAGAGGCTGTGCAGAGTCCGATGATGAATGGGATTTGATTGGTTGATATTGTGTTTCGGGAGGTACGGGTGGCTGGGTGTAAGCATGCTCTCGGGACAAATGATAGGAGATTGAGGCCAACGGGGAATATCGCCACTCTTCTGGGGTCCAGAGATCGGATGCGCTGGTGAGGATGTTGCTTTGGGGGCCAGGCACCGGGTGCGATGACGATGATTCCGTTGCCTTGGGATGGTGGATGGTTAACCGGGGAGGGTTGGGGAGTTGATGAGAGCGAATCGTTTTGGTGAAGCTTTCTTCTTCAGGGATGAAGAATGGTCTGGGTGTAGGCAGCAGTTGTGGCAATCCGTGAATTGTGATTGAGAGTAGGATTGCTTGTGCTTGTATGGGCGACCAGTCCCGTGCTAGTAGTTCAGATCAAGACGTATATTGCCGTTATGCTATGGTTGTAGTAAAGAAAAGGCTCGTACTTCAAAAGGATGACTCGTATCTTCAGATTTCACATGCCACAAGTTTGGAGATTTCAGTATTCTTCGAATGATTGTGACGAATGTCAGTCCGCTTTGATTTACATGATTCACGCCTCGTGAAAGAGACGTCGATGACATGCCGCGATACTTAGTAGATGGGTCTTGTAGCATATCCGGCACTCATGATGGAAGATTACACACCCCTCTACATCATCAAGATGTCACATCCGTCGTCTGTCCTGTTATAGAACTCCTATTGGAGGATGAAGATTTCTCCATATCGAAGATTCAGGACAGTATTCACGCACTGGGCGGCCGTGAATCTGCAAGTTGGATATTTGATAGGTCAGGCTTACGAGCTAGACATTCCCAGTCTGCCGGGTAGCTGGTGGAACGCAACGCGGATGCCTTGAGCCTCAAACAAATGTTGCTGGATGAGTCGTGATACAGATCACGAGCCTGAGGCAGATGACTCCTCGTTTCTCAGGATGTGCCGTGAGGGAGGCCTCCAGCGTTCTTGCAGGCTGTGGACAAGTACATCTGGAGTCTTCAGCGTGTTTCAAAGTGTAGCATGTGATTGAGTATGAATAACGCCATGATATCTCATATTGAAAGATGATGTCTTTCGAATCCACGATCTCATAGGTTTTGTGAGATGAGTCATAGTGATGCTCGAGTCTAAAAGGCTGTGTCGCTTCGACTACCTCGCATAGGTTTACATCGTGAACGAGACGGCAATGCCTCGATACCTAGGACTTGTGCATCTCAACATCTATCACATGGTTTGCGAAATACCCATATTGCGTTTGCCTGATAGCGAGACTCATAGACTTGCTGCGTTGGCCAGGATGAAGAGTCACAGGACATCACCGCACTTACTCGCATATGTCAATGAAGACTCTACGAGTACCACTCATATCGCCACAATGCTACGAGCTGCACCATATCTTGCGGCGGCATTTTTCTGCCTGCCTGGTTGCCTCCGCCTCTTGGTCGATTCTCTTCTAAACTTTGGATGCTGATGCCCGTCGAGAGCTGATAGGCGTACGTACGCGCTGCGAAGCCTTGCTAACTGAATGAAGTCCACTTTCTTTACGGCAAAGGAAACCTTCCACTTCATGACATGTCGTATTGATACAAGCAGGCTCGGGACGGGCCACAACCGGCGGGCAACCAGTTTGATACCACGATAATCCCCCGGAGATATAGCCACCTATCGGAGAGGAGGAAAGAAAATTTCCGTCTGGAGCTTTTGACTGCGGTTAAGAATCTGGGGCCTAACTTTCACCGGAAATGCTATTCCCAGAGCAAGAACGAGCTTATGGGCCCCTTAGATGTTTCTCTTCTCCTAGGTATCGTTATCCAGTCCTAGATGAGCTACTGTGTTTAAGATCTTGGGCAGAGATCACAAGTAGGTAGGTAGGACATGGAAGGAGACTGAGTGAGCCAAAGTCTTTGAAGGCTCGAACGACGTATCAGGATCAGCTGACGTGGAACAAAGATCACCCAAGGAACAAACGATATCTCTAGTTCTCAGAAGTCATACTCATTGTTGTGCAGAAGAGAAGACCAAAGGCGCTCACGGGGAGAAGCACAGGACAGCTCATACCTCCTCCTCCCTTTCCTTCCCATGTTGTTTCCAGCCTCCGCAAGCCCGCACATGTTCCCTTTTGTGCTGCTCAACCCCAGAAGCATGCCCGAGAGCCACTACTACTCAGAAATGTCAAAAAAAGAGGTTCTATTCCAAAGGTAACCCCCAAAACAGCAAAAGGTTGCGTCGAGGGGGAATCGAACCCCCGGCTCCCCGACGCTGCTTGATGGCAACGGAGAATTTTACCACTAAACCATCGACGCTGGTGGAAGCAGATGAGCTGTGATGTTCTGGAAGATGAGAATGTGCATTGAGTAGGGATGTGGTATGGGTGGGTGGATTGTGGTTAGATTCGTGAGGGTTTGGGACCCTGATTTGTGTGGAGCACGCGACGGTGAACAGGGGTTTGGGCCGCTCAAGGTGCTCTTGCATGCAAGTCTAATTGCAGCGTCTTGCTCGCTTCCTCAGTCATGTCCGAGGTTGCCTTATTGTTAAAAATGAAAGATTAGACCTGAGCCTGTAATTATGTCAAGATTTCCAGGCCGCATCCTGCCTCCGTGATCCGTCGGTACTTGTTTCCACTTTTGCCGAAGCATCCAACCCCGATTCCGCGCCTTGACCCTGATACACCAACACAGTTTCGTGCAGCGAATAGCCTACGGAGCGCACTATTCCGTAACGAATTAAGCAATGACGACTTAAAGTCTCTAATCTTTGCCACGGTATTTGAGGCAGGAGTTCTGTAAGTTATCAAGCTGAAAGAGGACGCCCTGGGTATTGGCGCTCCTGGCCGAAGACTGGAGGTAGAGGCACAGGTCTAGAATTTCTCCGGAATAGCCACTAGTTTTGACAAATTGACGACGCTACCGTTTCTCAAGTGGAAGTGGGCGGAGGAACTGTAGCTGAGCACTAGGTACGTGTAGACGCACGCTGTGGAATGATCTTTTCACCTTGAATAAATATCTAAAGACCTGAAATGAGACTGTACGTCTCGTGTGACTAACACTCATCTGACCCTCTTAGAGTATCATGAACAATGGCAATACATCCATGTCGAGTTTCAGGTTTCTGAGCCATCGGAGAGAATAGCACGTCTATTTTGGCGTCACTTGATCCCTGGATTCTTGCTAGAAAGATTGAGGATTGTATCGGAGTGATTCAGAAAGGAAGAAGACTGAGTATGGAATCTTGGAATTGCGAAAACCATAACATGCTCCTGATATCATGTTGAGGTACTGCAAGCTATAGCAAGTGTCCTCAGCAATGTCTATGGCCTTAAGTCTCTTTTTATTAGGCGATCGTCCAACAGAGGTGGCTGACCAGTCTTCTACAGGGTGTGTAGACTTTTTTCGGAAAGAAGGTAGTATTTGAGCACTGAGCAGCAACAGGAAAACGTTACAATGTCCCCTCTTGGGCGTTTCGCGCTAGCGAGAAGCTTGTGAATCATGATTATGGATACAGCCTTTCTTCTCAATACATTGCTTATTAAGGTATGAAGTGAAGATAAGCCTATGAAAGGGTACTCAGAACCCCGAGCTAACGATACAAACTAAAAAGGCTCCTTGTAACAGAAGGAATGATCCTTCGACCCGCCAAAATTGACCCTGAATTCAAGTCCCTTTCCCTCTTCTTCCAAGTCGAACCCCACACAGGGATACACTTTTCCAAACCTAAGACTGTCGGTGGCTTTCGAGAAGGCATCTCCTAAAGTTCGATCAATACGATGTGAACCAAGATGTGGATCTTGATACTTGAAATCTACCCATTTCCCATCTTTTACCGTTGCGTGTACAGAATCCTTGTCCAGTACTTGAGTACAAACAAATACCCACGACATCAGGGTATCCGAAAGTCCCGGCGCCCCCGAAGTCTGGGCTTGGAATAGGACCATAGCCATTGTCAACAAATAGCTCCCCATCATCACTGTAATACGCCCACGATCCTTTGAACCAACCTAGCATTGTGTAGTAGATGTTGTTTGGAAGACTCGGGTCACAGAACCCGATTCCCAATATCCTGCAATGACTTATCAATTTTCGGCGCTCAGAGGTAAGGTGATAGAGTCGGAAGCAATTTACCGAGGATTGGAGTTACGAAGGACTTCGACCTCGAATTGAAATATTCTCTCGATGGAGGGATACTGTGGTTGGCGCGTATACATCCTCTTAGGAGGTTCGGCGATTGCCTGACGACCTTCATCACTGTTGGAATTAGATATTCATTCATATCATTTGAATGTGTGAACCATTGCATAGTGATGACATACCGTGGGCGGTTGGGTATTTATCATGGCCATCGACGGGTTCGGAAGTGACTTGGAGGCTTTCCTTGTACTGGTCCCAAATTAGGGTGGCGGGACTCCTATAGTCGGGTGTCTTATCGATTTCCCCAGGTTTCGAGTGGTTGTAGAGGCTTCTGAAGGTTTCCTCGAGGCAGAAACGTTTCAGGTAGTCCATAGAGGACCAACTGTCTTCGTCAAGGCCATTTTGATCAACACTGTGATCTATCAAGATCTGCACAAGCTTCTTATCGCGAAGTAAGATTGCTACGTGGTAAGAGGTCTTCGACTTTACCCATGTCTCCTGCCTTCGATCGCCCGCGAACTTGTCGAATGCCTTTTGAGCGCTGGCTGGAAGCTCTTGGACAGAAAGCTCATGAAGGAATGAGAGAATTAAAGTGGTCTCTAGCAGAGCTTGCAACATGTTCCCAATCAAACCGTGGAACTGAGAGGATTGGGAGAAGGTGAACTCCTTCAGGCGGTGGAGTCTCTGGGAGTCTGATGTCTGTGCATGCAGGAGAAGCAACCGAGCAGCTTCTACTCTCCCATCAAACAGTGCTCTGTCAAGTCGGGTCTCGCCTCATAGACTTTCTTGATGAATTTTAGCAGATGGTTTCTTCAGTAAGAGAGTTAAGGCTTGTGAGTCTTCTACATCAGCCGCAAAGTGTATTGGAGTATACCCTCTCCACCCTGGAGCGGCCTGATTCACGTCATCTACTTCAGGGCCCTGATGTTGAAGTAGTTGTTTGACAATATCGTGATGCTCACTCTCACAAGCCCATGAAATAGGCGGCTGTTGATAGCTAGAGTCCTCGTCATTTATGGTCTTGGGCCATTGCTTCAGGATATCTGGGACAATTTCTGAAAATCCCTGTTTGCAAGCTGTGACCAGCAAGGACTCATGGCTATAGTCGAAAGCATTCTCTTGCACCTGGCCAGGGCTGCCGGCGCTCAATAGATAGAGCGCAACATCTTGGTCCTTGCGCTCAATCGCCCTGTGTAGGGCTGTCCTTCCTTCCGAATCTGTTGCCAGCAGATTGCAATGTTCTGGTACAAGCAGCTGAGCCATCTTTCTGCCACGAGCGTAATGAATTGTACAGCTGTTGTTTAAGTCAGTGCCGACTAAAGGGACCGCTCTGGACCCTTTAAGCAGTGTTTTGGCGACCTCTTTGAGGCTTTTTTTTTCCAGCGGCGAACATGAGTGTCGTGATGCCGCGAGAGTCCTTTGCTAATGAATCTGCTCTCATTCATGCAGAAAGAATTTGAACACCTCAGTACGGCCGCCGATAATCGCATAGCGTAAAGGCGTGCACCCATTCTTGTCTTGGGCTTCGATGTTAAAGCCTTTCCCCTCTGGACTACGGATGCTATCGTCGTCTGCAACCTCAACTGCAATATGAAGGAATGATTTTCCACTGCTGTACCGGCAGCTTGGATCCATCGCAAACTTCAAAAGTGCGTTGAAGCAGGGATTGAACATGCTCTCAGAAACATTGGGAGAGCCAGTGACTGAGGAATCGGTGTTTTGCTGCGTCTGAGAGACGCTATCGTCTCTTTGTCTTGTTGCATTTTCCACAAGGTAGTCAACAAAGGATCTTCCAGCCTCGTCGAGCTCATTTGAACGCGATCCCATATGCAGAAGCTGGGTGATCAACTTCGTGTGTCCTAGCCTGGAGGCGATGTGAAGTGGTTGGCGGCCCCAAGAGTCCTTCTTCTCAAGAGATTGTTTTCCGCCGTGTTCTTTCAAGAAGTCAAGGGACCCCAAGTTTCCAATTTTCGAGACCAGATTGAGAGGAGTCAGGTCGTCAAGTCCACCGGCTTGAATTACACTCTTACGCGCTTCGCCACTCAACTCACTCAACATAGATGCGAGGCTTTTAGATTTCCCAAATAAGGCAGCGATATGGATCGGACTCCGGCCTAGGCTGTCCAGTAACTTAGGCAAGCGGTCGGTCCAGACTGACGGTTGGGTGAACCATGAAAATGTTGAATTCAGGGTCATCAGCGAGATATCCATAATGATACGGAGTCCAACCAAAAATATCGCCGACTCTTGAAACCTCTTCTGATGCGTTACACATCGAGTTAGTAAAGCTCGATCGTCTTTGAAGGGTTGCAAAACTTTTAAAAAAGACTTTACAGATCATCCTGACTCAGTTGGTGTGAAATTTGATACACAGACTATCGTGGTTTTAGCCAAACGCAATCGTTTTGGGAGTTGCAGTATTCTGTGTCACTTACATCAACACCCGCCGCGATCATCGCCAGGTGATGCCGCGCGAGGCCAAGAGTGTTCTTTGCGAAGATTTTGTCTAATTCATTGGACTCGCTTACTTCTCGAGAATTCTGGAAAATATTTCGTGACGGTCTTGGCAGCGGTAAACAGGTCGAGCTTTGCCATGATGCCGGCGAACTTGGGGGATTCGAGATGTCTTTCAATAGCTTCCAGCTCTCGACACAAGTCCGAAGGAGGCGTCATCTGTTCATGATACGGCTCATGAGCGGAGGACAAGAAGTCGACTGTAGCCACAGCAATGGCAACGTTCAACTTGTCATCTTCGTTGAGCTTCTCGCCCTTTGTCTTAATCGTTTCAACGAGCTTCTTGTGACAGGTCGCTGTTTTTACCCATCCACGCCCAGGGCCAACACGAGGCATCAATCTGGGAATGCCCTGGTCAGGCAAGAGATTCCTAGAACTGAGTGCCGGGATCATGCAAAGAAGGATGTCAGTTATGCTCCCTAGGCCGTATGATTTCATGCTTCGAATGACTTTTAAGTTTACGGTGGCGAAGTTGGGATCGGAGCCATGTCTTAGCAAAGTCGATCGAGTCGAAAGTCTGTGGGCCTTCTATCTCTAGCTCTTGTTTGACTCCATCGGGGACCTGAATCCAGACAGTCTCTTGGAGGGAACTCCGAAATATTCCACATGAAACTGGTGAAAAGGTGTTGGGCCGAGATGGCCGAGAGGGACGCCTTCGACGTAATCCTCAGCTCTCTGGCAGCTGTTTTGTCTGCGTCACTGTCAATCAGGCTGTATAAATAAGCATCAACTTTAAACATGCAACACACCTTTGGGCGACTCAAAGCCGTTAATACAATCACTATTTCAACATTTGCACCCCTTCCTTGGCTTTTCTTTCGCGTTGGTTCATCGCTCTTGGGAAGTATTTCCCTGTCATTGCTTTCTCCGTGGTCACCTTTTCCGTCTTCACTTTCTTCGTCTTCACATTCTTCACCACCACTTTCTTCGTCATCGCTTTTGTAGTTGTCTCTTTGGTCGTCTTAAGTCGTAGTATCGCTCTATTCAGCGACAAGGCTGTCGACCCACAAAGAGACATCTCGTTTCAGGACGTCATTCAGCTCTGTCTCGAACAGTATCTTTATTGATTTCAACGTTGCTGTTATCAGTGAGCTATTGTCAAGCCTTACTTTTGGTGATTCGCAGACAAAGGTCACCTGCAGGTCTCTTACTGTATCCCGGCAATATTTGCAGCTGCGCAGATTGACCTATCCCAATTATGTGCTGGTCATTCAACAATCAGAATCCACCGTTACGCCTTTCCATACGGTATCCCAGAGTACTATTCCACGCAGCTTGCACAAAAAATGGCTTTAGAAGGCTTGTTCACCCAGTCCAAAAATGCGCGGACGATGACGCGTGATTGCAAGGCGTTTGTCTGAATATTGTCAGGGCCCAAAAGTGGGTGGGCTGACTTACATTGAATCTCGGATCTGCATGTTGCCCAAGGCTTCTTTCGAGGGAACTCTGGTCTCAACACATGGTAATGGGCTTGCGTGCACCTACATCGATGGCCACGAGGATCCTCGGGACCTCAGCCCATAACAGGCTGACCTATGTATCACAGCGACTGAAAAACACAGCCATTGTCTAGCAGCTGCTCGGTCATTACTGAGGCAAGATGGGTGTGTTGGTCTAGGATGAGGCTGGGGGACCTAGAGCAAACTGCCCGCGAGGCTAACTATCAAAAGCTGTCACGAGTTATGGCACGCAGTAATGAGCATATGGAGCAGGAAGGTATCAAGAATATTGGACTCAGGTGCGTGGAGACATGACGAAGAAAATGCAACGTAGGCCGTGACCTTTCTGGTGTTGAGCACAGCGGCGGTATCCTGTCTTGAATCGCGGCCGCATTGTCTAACAATCGAAGACTGGCAACAATGACAAGGTCCTCTGGGATTTGTACCTTCTGGAACGCAACTGGGAGGTCGCGTTGCGATTATTATCTTTTGTTCGGTGCCGATAATACTGAGAGTAATGATACCTGACGTAGGCGTATGGAACCTGATTTGGCAGTGATGGATTGATTCATTGACAGGTTACAATAACAACGACTGCGGCAGCTATGGTCTCCAGCACATCGGCGGTGAGCATTCAATGCATCGAATAATATATCGATTGCAAGAAAATCCTTTGAGCCTATCTCAAGATCATTCTGCGAATCTGCAGCAACATCGGACTTGGTTGCACGGCCCTTTTTTGGAGACCAAACGCCTAGCGATGTCGCCTGTTCTTAAAGCACGAGTAGCATTACAGGAGTGGGACTACTGTGGTGGAAATTAACCTCAGCGGCCGCAGTTAGACACTGTCGTGATACAGATTACGGTGAAGTATGCCACTGAGAGGCAGACCATGGCGACCAGTTGCGCTGCTCCCTTCCTGGTTGATCAAAGAACCAGAGCGACTGATAGCCAGTAGGGGTTCTGAGCTACACTCATGACTAGAGATACATGGTCAAACCCAAGCATCCTAGCATGGAGGCATTGGAACGCTGAGTCTCAATCAAGTCTGAACAAGAAAATTAATGGCATCATTAACAAAGAATTAAGTATTATTGATCTTAAAATGCCCTTCGGCCCCTTTCCCTTTGCAACATTCCTCCACACGTCCGCCACTTACTGCGGTCAGTTGAAGCTGCAAGGAACTTGGATGACCCAGTCGGGGTAGATCAGATCCTTGTTCTTGATCAGGCCCGAGTTCTTCTGCTGCAGCACATCCGCAGTCGTACAGAAGTCATAGGCGATCTTGTTAAGGGTGTCGCCGGACACGACCACGTAAGCGCCATCATACGCCGAATTCTTAGCGCAGTCTCGCTGTTTGCCGGCGTTCCAGTGGCACGGCACCTTTAGGTTCATACCAGGCTTGATGTTCTGGATGTTGTTCCACTCCTTGATGACCTGAGGTGACGTGCAGAAGTCGGCGGCGAGAATGTCGAGTGTATCGAATGAAGTTGTGTAATACCAGCCTTCCGAGGCCTTGGTGTGCTTGCAGGAGCGACGGAGGGCGGCGGTAGAGCCCAAAGTAGCCGCCATGACCAGGAGGAAATCAGAGCGCATCTTGAAATGATGTGATGGGCTTAATTTGTTTCGGGGAATAAATGTTGGCAGTTGGTTCTGGAGGATGGGTAGATGCGGAAAAAGAGACTCAACGAGAGCGCCGCAAAGTGGGCATTTATAAAGCCGCTGCTGAAAATGTGCAACAACGCATCTTACGCTCATTTAGTGTCTGACACGACGCCTCATCAAATGGTATCGTGAAGCCAAAAGCTTGTTGTCGGAAAGCCTTAATGTTCACCTTCAAAATCGCAACATGATACGACGAACTAGCCGCACGGGCCGTGAATTGCTCCGCCTTCTGGAATACTACTTTATTTAACTTCACGACGGCCCCATCGTTCATCTCCCGCCGTCGGGTTCACCGTCCACTCTGGCTGTCTACATCTTCTTGTTTCGCCTTATTTGTCTGAAAGTGACAAGTCTTATTATCGACAGGCTCAAAAAGCTGAATGCACAAGATAGTCCCCGGCCGCGGGAACGTAGTGGCTCAGATGTTCTTGAGTGTGCGACATTCTGAGGCATATGGCTGTGACTTGTCGAGACTAGAATCGCAGTTTAGACTCAAGTCAGCTATGCAATGCACCGGAGGGTAAAGTGTGAAGACTTGAAGGTATGGGTACTCTCCGGCTTTTGCGATGCCGAAGGTAGTCGGCTGACTCGCTAAGCGTGGCACGAGCCGCGATAGTGGAGTTGTAATATAACGAGTATTCGATGGTCTATCAAATGCGAAGGTCTTCTGGACAAACCGAACGCCAAGTCGGCTGGAAAGCCCCAAGCATCTGCAGCTGCTGTGCCTTGCAAGATGTTCGTAGTAAGGTAATTGTTTTTGTGTCTCGATTCCTGATTCAAGCGCCATAGCCTATGGCAATTTGATCAAACCCGTGACACGGCTATAGCCGGGCCGTTGTCAAACGGAAGGGAATTGCCGTTAGGCTACGATAGTTGGGCACCCACTGCTATATCTTTGAACGATGGCTCTGATTGGCTGTCCTTGAAGAAGGCCCGGTTGGCCGTAATGGCCCCAGCTGAACGCCTCGCTGGACAGGTACGACCACATTCGGAATTCATGCTGGCTAATGGGTGCTCAGTAGTCTGAAATTGAGCATGAAGAATAAATGATGCAGATCAAGTATCAAGTCTTCCATTCTTAGTGGTCAGGCTCAAAATCTCATCTTTCATCCACCAAAGCCTGAAGAGGCCCTCAGATACCAAGCACCTATAGTGATACCTCCGGAGTTCTTTCTGATGTAGGCCTTTGTGCTGCCCAGGGAGCCGTAAGTCTACATAGACGGTTCTTCACAAAGCGAAAGTTTTGCTCTCAAACAGACGGGACTGTTCTTATTAATGCCACTAATGTCTACCTTATCTCTAACGAGTAAGAGATGGAACGGGGTTGCGCTTATCGATTCTCAACTGCCATCTCGCACATTATTGACTTAATTTCTATCTTTTGTCGAACAAGTTCCAACAAGATGAGATGTAATGACGGAATCTGGTGATGAACTTCGCGAGTCATCAGGACCAGCCTCATCGATAATGCCTCGTGTCAACAGAGGCGGCCAGTCAGTACCTGGCCAACTATGTGACTGCATATTTGAAGTGCTTTTCTCATTTGGTTGGCAGCAGACCACGTATCAGCATTTATATGCAACATTGCATCTTTCGGGTTTATTGGACCATATTATCTATCCTTTCCCAGGGCATGCAAAGAGCCATTGAGTACTACTTTCTCTCACCGAAGCCACGTTACACCAGACCGGCCAAAGCCGGTTCTACTCGAGCCACATCATCCCTTGGTCTCAGTATTTCACATAACGTGATGATTGGTGTTGTAGATCTGAGTATGTCATTCGTACTCGCCTGTATCTTAGGTGCCTGACAGCGCGCGTTACGTGTCACTTGGCGCAGAACATACTCTGCGGAAGTAACCCAAATTTTGAGAGGCTCATTATATACGTCGATAAAAAACATACAGATCCTTCCTCCCCACTAGATCGGTAGCACGACACTCGCTTCAAGAGCTGCATCCTAGAGTTGTGCTTTGAGAAAGTGTGAGCATCCCGACAACCGTTCCCCATTTGCCTTCGACGCACGGCCAATCCGCCGGCCATGTCGACATATGAATACAAAGCACTACCGGATCCAAGAAAGTGCATGAGACTGCTGAAGCTTTTACCAACTTCTGATGTGAAACCAACCAAGCTTGGCGCCGAAATGATTGTCTGTCTGCGCGAAGAAGCACCATCATACCAGCCCTTGTCCTAAACCTGGGGTCAGCAAGACGCGTCATGCTCAATCTGGCTTAAAAATGCCGGATATTCTACATAGAAACCTTTTTCCATAAGACCGAATCTCGAGTCGTGCCTTAAACAGCTTCGGAACAAGGAAGCTCACATATTATGGATTGATGCGATCTGCATCAACCAAACGGACAACGTCGAGAAGGGCCATCAGGTCGCGAGCATGGATCTGGTTTATCAATCGTAAAGCATCGTCATATGGTTGGGGGAGTGGTCAGAGAATAGCGATGTCGCCCTTGATCTTCTACAGTCATTTCGAGACTGCCTGGTCGAAAACGGGCACGAAGAGTTCGCTTGGTCGAGCCGGTTGTCCGACCAAATCGCAGAAGCAGGGGAGCGCTTTGGGGAAAATCAGACGCACGAGCAATGGGCAGCATTCGTTGGTCTGATCAACAGGCCTTGGGTATCGCGGCGTTGGGCGGTTCAAGAGGTTGTTTTATCTAACCAGAAACACGCTCACTTGGGTAGCCGGACCTTTCGTTTGGGCTATCTCGTGTGGCTCTGTGGGTTTGGGTCTCTTCAGCTGAAATCCTACCACTTACACAAAGAGCCATCAGAGTATAGCAAATGCCGAAGAGTTTGTGGAGACCATGTTTACACTCATAAGAACCCGACACTGGTGGTGGATCCCATCGACACCATATTACGAGTCTGGCGGGCATATAGTGCAGTTATGAAAGGAGACAAGCCATCTATCACTTTGGAGAAGCTATTAGACAGCTTTTCAGGACTTGAGTCTTTTGATGCCCGAGACGGTGTTTATGCCTTCTTGTCAATGGCAAGTGATATTGACACTGAGGAATGGTTTCCAGATTACTCAGACCAAGCTACAACTACGGAGATCTTTGCCAAACCTACATTGCATATCATACAACAGACTGGAAGTCTAGATATCATCTGGAGACGCATGCACGACAGGTCCTTCTCTCTCTCTGTCAACCACCCTTCCTCCTGGATCCCGTGGTATGGCCTTCAGACCATCGACTTTATGCCCGAACATTCACATCGGTTTCATGGATACAATACAAGGCCCCTAACGACATTCGGACAGCCCTTATCCAGACTAAGGATCGGCCAAGAAGGTTATCGTCCAAAGCCCTACCCGACAGGCAGTATTGCTCGATGGAGAGAGATGGTCTTCTGCGACGGATGCCAGAGCAAAATACAAGGCACAGGGTACGAGTGCGTCGACTGCGAGAAACTTGATTTCTGCTACAAATGCATTGGTACGGCCAGCATCGTGACACCTCATTACAGCCCGACTCATCAATTCAAGGCACACAACAACGCGGTCTACTTCGCCGAAGCATCTGGGTTTCGTGCCCCCGGGAACTAGGAAAGGAGATCGCGTAGCTATTCTACTTGGTTGTTCAGTGCCGGTTATACTAAGAGAAGTAGGATTCTTTCACGGAAAGCCCGCGTGGGCACTGGTCGGGGAGTGCTATGTTGATGGGATGATGGAAGGGGAGTTCATCGAAGTTGCAGACAAAGTGGGACTTGAACCAGAGGAAATTGTCCTCGTGTAGCGGGAAATCTAGGACATTTGTTAAGGTGACGTTGAGATCTTGCTCTAGACGCTATCAGGTCCCTGGGGAATCAGCAACTCCTTTCAACTCACCTCAGACCTGGATCAAGCATCAGATGGAAAAGCTTTTGCCTATGATAAGCAGTCGGATATTGCCACGTAACTAATATGAAGAAATTCGGCTCCCCAGCACTCTGTCACTGGCATGTGCCGATCTCCCCCTGTCGTTCAAAGCTCACTGGTTCGAAGTGTAGTAGGTCTGGTCCCCGCTGAACAAGGTGTGGTGGAATTGAGAGGGACCACTCTTGGACGCCCAATGGGAGGGAGATTGACAGGGTAGTTTTAGGCTTGGCCGTTCCCTATGATGCTGTGTGTCCCTTGTCTCGGTGATATTTCTCGAAGTTGAAGGCAAGACCGAAGGCTGGCTTAGTGCAAGACGCCCGGCCTTGGTAGACGATTGGGAGCTGATGATTCGGTTACGACTCGTCTGCTGAAAGAGCTGTAGCGTCAGCAAAAACAACCAGCCTGCCGTTGGAATAATGTAGCAAGACCGAAGCCTTTCGTAGACCATCACAGTTTGTACTCAGCCTGCAAGCATCAAAGGTGCTGCAAGGCAAGCCGTGGAGATTCAAGAGATGTTGCTGCGGTATCGCAGCTCGTGAGTAGCGGCAATCCCATTCGACTTCTACGAATCCCGTTATAAACACGGAAAATAGCGGCCGGAGATTCGTTTCAGTTGAATGGGAAGCTCAGGTATGTGTTGCGCTCCTCGGGCGATGCTTCGATGCTAGCTGACCAGTATGGAAAGGGGAGGTGAAAGAGGTGGTGTGACCGGTGTGGCATGGCGTGTTCGATGGGCGTAAGTCAGCAGGCCGGGTGCTACCTGGGACGGCCTGCGGGTGTGCTAGAAGGTGTTCTGGGTGCGGGGGGATTCAGCCTCTCTCGTACCCTGACGACGTGGCTGGCGTGCCGAGACAACGACACCTCCTAGAGAAGGCTCAATCAGCAGCCCTCCAAGACCAGGTAGGCGGCACAGCCTCTCGAATCAAGAAGGTCGGAAGGGTCCAGACGGCCGATGGAATATGTCGAATTGAAGCTAAGAGATAGGCGAAGTGTTCGCCATGGACCTATGACTGGAGCTGCTGGCCCGAGCCTGCAAACGAGGCCCACAAACCACAGGTAATAGTGATTTTGGGAGGTTGTGTGGTGTGATGGTCGGCCCAACCTAGATTTTGGTGCTGTCTGTGCTCTTGGAGCGATCCGAAATGGTCTCTTGGGCCCGTGTCTTTGGCAGGTGCAAAGGCCAGTGGAAGGCGTCCAAAAGGATGGCACTGGGGGCTTATCTGGCCGTGGCGAAGGTGCCAATACCGATATTGCAACTTGGCGGGTGCTTGGTACCAGTCGTGAAGCGTTGATAGAAGCTGCCAAAGATTGCCAACCTGTTGGCGATGGTTGGCATTTCTCGGCTGGCGAGTGAGACGGCGCATATTTGTGGGTTGTGCATCGTTTGTCTCTGGGCGACCGGGGGAAACGAGAAGGCAGGCGACGCTGTTTGGGGAAAGCTATGGTAGTCTCGGGGAAGTATCGGTCGTGTACCCTCTCGGAAGAGTTGTTCGTTCATTTCAAATTGCGAATACGTAATCGCGTGTGTGATTCAGTGTTGCCATCTCCAACGCTGACTGGCCTGGAGGAGATGTTCTTGGTTCGGCCAAGAGCTCGGCAGGCGTCCCAAGTCTGCAACCGCAAATGGAAGGCACTCGCGGAGAAGAGAAGCTTGGGAAAGCAGGAATGGCATTTAACCATAGGCTTAGAGTGTGAAGCGATTGATGTAGCGATGGTGCTTTGCTTCATCATTCTGATGGTCTTCTTGTGGCGTGCGCGTGCTACATGCTCAGTATGGAAGAAAGTGAGCTGTTGACGATAAAATGCTATTGTCGATCATTGATGGTGCCATGGGCGGCGGTTGAGCGCAAGGACGGCCGGCAGTTGCTTGGCGAGAGACGCGCTTGTCAGACGGGAGTCATGCCGGGGGGAAGGATGATGGCTGCAGTTGTCCTAGGCTTGATTTTGGTCGAATGTTGAAAGGTATGAGAGCGGCACAGTCGATAGAAAACAATTTCTTCGTTCTTCGCAGACCATGCGTGCCTCTCACTGTCCCAAAGGAGGTCATGAGTGAAAGGCAGGTGCGTCTGGGGATCCTCCGTTCCCTCCGTTCCCTTCCCTCCCCTCTTACTCCTTCCAGGCCACAACCACCCGCTGATTCCTCCTTCCTCCACGTCCGCCGGCTGCCTTACCTAATCACGCAGGTACCCAGGTACTTCCGAAGGGCCCACACCTCTCCGCCAAGGTCGATGCCCCCCGCCGCCCCTAGAAGGCGCGGAACGACCTTCCATGCAGCTGCCCGGGCGGGCTCCGCTGATAATGGCAGGCTTTAAAGCTACGACTCCGGTACGCAAAGGTACCTACCTCATGATGCTCTCTTCCCCTCCCCTGACAGAAACACACCATGTTCACCCGACGTCCTCCTTGCTTTCATCTCTTCTCTTCCACGTCAACCTCCAACGTCCACGCCCACCACCATCCAATGCTGGTTCTAGTCTCCTTTTCTCAAGCCCAACCTGCCAGCACCCAAGGCTCTAATCGATGAGCCCGCAATTTGTCAATCATGAGCTTCCCTAGAAACTCGACTTTCACCTTCTCTTCTCGTCTAGCACCCTGTCAGCTTAACTCCACTTCCCCAACACTTGGCCTTCCTCTGGCCCTTGGCATACACCCATCTTAATCTCTCTGGGTTATCCATCCATCCTGCGAGCACTGTCACTCGCCGAGTGGCACCCTCGACTTACGCCTACGTTGCTCTGATCCCGCCCGCATACCTTCGCCGCAGATAGCCATGTCCAGAAGTAGTTTCCCGGCGCGACAAGGCAACGCCGAATGGGATGCGGGCATGCTGGGTTGCTGATAGGATGGGCGACGAGGTCGAGGTGGTATCCTTGATCGGCCGCGTCTTCTTCTTAAAACATCGCGTCCCCCTCTCGACCGCAAATGATTTCTCCTCTCCTTGTGATTCACCACAATCCACTATTTCAGAACTGCCTGATCCCTTCCTTGCACTTGATGCCCCTGGGCCTCCGACCCCATTGTTCGATCCACCTCAGCCTTTTGTTTCGCAAAAGGTTCCAAGCCATACCAGTAACATTCTTTGCCCGAGGATTGCGTCAAAGGACAAGGCAAACACTTGGCCGAAATGGCGACCGAAAAGGATGTCCATGATGGCGTCTCGACCCCCGAAACTACCCAAGTTCAACCCGAAAGTCGTACCGAGGGCGTCCAGGGTAAGCCTGGAAACGCCATCGGCGAGGGCCATCTCAGCCATGGAGGCGCGAAGCGCGACGACGACTTCTACACTCGAAATGGACTCAACTTCGAGTCCTTCAAGCGCCGAGATTATGGACAGGGCATCGTTGAACTCGACCGTACCATGAAGACTCGTCACTTGCACATGATTGCTATTGGTATGGAAGCTATATGTAGCTACTATGTATATCTTTACTAACCTAGTCGTCCGCCCAGGTGGTTCCATCGGTGCTGGTTTCTTCGTCGGGTCTGGAGGTGCTCTGGCTACCGGTGTTCGTTCTACCACACCCCGCACATACTCGAATATCGCGCTGACCAGACAAAGGGGCCCGGGTCCATTCTTCTCGACTTCTCGATCATTGGTATCATGATGTTCAATGTCGTCTACGCTCTTGGTGAACTCGCTGTTATGTATCCTGTGTCCGGTGGCTTCTACGTATACTCGACTCGGTTCATCGATCCTTCTTGGGGCTTCGCAATGGGATGGAACTACGTCTTCCAAGTAAGCCGCTTTACCTCTTCGACTGACCAAGTCTTCTTCAAGTGTCATGATGTGTCTAATACGGGTGACAGTGGGCTATCGTTCTACCGCTTGAGTTGACGGTTTGTGGTCTGACAATCAACTACTGGGAAGGGGCCAGAGACATCAGTCTCGCTGTGTGGATCACAATCTTCTGGGCTGCAATAACCTTCATCAACGTTTTTGGAACTCTGGGATACGCCGAGGAAGAATTCTGGTCGTCCCTTCTTAAGCTTTCGGCCATCGGTAAGCTTACACTCATCGTGACTTTCACCACGCACTCACACCTTCTGCAGTCATTTTCATGATTGTGGCTCTCGTACTCGTATGTGGCGGTGGCCCTACCGGTGGTCGCTATGACGAGTACTGGGGGGCGCGGTACTGGCACGACCCTGGCGCCTTCAAGAACGGCTTCAAAGGATTCTGTGCCGTATTCGTTACTGCTGCATTCTCTTTTGCCGGTACCGAGCTCGTTGGCTTGGCCGCTGCCGAATCTAGCAACCCCTTGAAATCCTTGCCAGGTGCTATCAAGCAGGTCTTCTGGCGTATTACCCTGTTTTATATCCTCGGCCTCTTCTTCGTTGGCCTCCTTATCAGCTCCAATGACGAGAATATTCTCGGTGCCGACAACCCTTACGCCGAAGGTACATCACCGTTCGTATTGGCCGCCAAGTACGCTGGTCTAAACGGATATGATCACTTTATGAATTCTATCATCTTGGTTTCAGTCCTCTCACTGGGAGTTTCTTGCGTCTACGGCGGCTCCCGTACTTTGACGGCTCTTGCGCAACAGGGCTATGCCCCCAAGATTTTCACCTACGTCGACAAGTCTGGCCGCCCTCTGCCCTCGGTTGCTGTCCACCTTGTCTGCGGCGCTCTTGCCTACATCAACTTGGATGCTAGTGGCGAGACGGTCTTTAATTGGCTTCTTGCCATGTCGGCGCTCGCTGCCCTGTTCACATGGGGATCTATCTGCCTGGCTCACATCAGATTCCGCAAGGCTTGGGCCTATCACGGACACACCGTCGATGAGATCCCTTTCAAGGCTGCCTTTGGTGTTGCCGGATCCTGGGTCGGTTTGATTCTTTGCATTCTTGTGCTAATTGCCCAGGTAAGCTATATTCTTTCCCTACATCTCACGGCGCTTTCTTTCTGTATCCTGTCTGACCTCGAACGCAGCTCTTTGTTGCCATCGCACCCGCAGGACAGGGCAACGAGCTCAACGATGCCGCTGGATTCTTTGAGGCCATGGTTACCGTCCCTGTTATCATTGTCTTCTGGATCATTGGCTTCGCCTGGAAACGCACTGGTTGGCTCCGCACCCACCAGATGGACGTTGATACCGGACGCCGCGAGCTCGACTGGGAGGAGATGAACCGCTACAAGGCCGAAGTTGCTTCTTGGCCTACGTGGAAGCGCATGTACAACAGATTCTTCTAGATCTGTGTAAGCGCCACATTCAAAGAAAAGCCTGTGTTTCATCCAGCGAGCAAAGAAAACAACATGCCGCGGCTCAAGATACAGGCAGCAATCTAGGCGAAGTCTGATTTCAGTATTCTGTACTCGGATACCACACACAGCTTACCGTCTTTTCTAATCTGACTTTTAATCATCGTAAAGACCAAAAATTCTTATCTGCCCCCTGTTCTCGGCTTATGTTTGTGAGACTTTGATGAAACCCACCCCCTAAAATGCCATGGGCTTGGGAACACAAAAGGCATACTCCATCGTCAACCGCAAACGATGTTTTTGCGAACCGCTCATGATATTGTCTCTGTGAAAGATGCTTGTAAACGCTTAACCCGTCGAGATCTCCAACATCTTTGTGAACACCAAACCGGGGCAAAGTTGTAAGACAATTAACCCACCTGTCTGCCAGCAGCGTCCAAGGCTGGAAACACTTTGCGGTACGTATCGTAGAGGAGCCAGTTGTGAGAGTGTGTATATGGTATGTAGGAAGCGTGTACCCAGTACTCAGCGTTCCATGTGGTCTTGGATCATATGCAAAAAGAAGCAGTCTAGAATGTTTCGAACATCCGCTGATTTGGGTTCCGACGTAACTACGAGCATGCTACAGACGATGCGGCGAATGAAAAGCTTGGGTGTCTGGGCGCCATGTCTGGGTGCCTCGTCATTGCTGAAGACTCAAGCGGCCACCAAAAGTATGCTGCCAATAGACTTGTGGTGACTCAAGCCGGGGGGGGGGGGGGTATGTGTTATTTCTTTGTGGAACGCAGCAACAAAGCAGTTGTTACTCGGGTTTCTTGTTTTGACCAATAATCTCTCCTTCTCACTGTGAATCTTAATTCTACGTGTCGAATATCATTTATGTACCAGTAGTCGTTTTGGGGCAAACAAAATAGCTCAAAATTCATCTTCTTCTCAGTACCCAAGAAGATAGTAATCGACAAAGGAGATTGGACTTTCAACGGCAACCGGCATTGTCAACCTTAGCCTGCCTTTTTACTCATTCGAGAGACCGAAACCACGGAAAACTACATCCTTGCAACGTCTCAAGAAATCCAGGACATCCGCCTCGGTATGCCAAGCGTCGTTATACGCAGCGCTAAGACATAATTCGCCCCTGAAAGTACCCAAGAACAGACCCAGCCCGTTGCCCAGCTCCTCGCCAGTCACCCACGGATCGTATGCCTCGATGGCGCCCGTCTTGGGGGCGATGATGCCGTCGACGCGGCCCATGCTGGAAATTGATACCGAAGGATGTTCCTTGGGCGGCGGCACGGGTAGCGGGGTGGAGGATAGAGGGACCGTGGGGTCTCCGGCGGCCCAGATCGTCGAGGCGAGGGCGTAGTGCTCCTTGTCGTCTTTGACGCTGTGGTAGAAGTCCTTCATTATCTGGACGACGGGGAGGAATTCGTCCTTGTCGGAGGTGGGCTTGGCGTTGGCGTTATCGTCGTCCAAGGCTGGGAGGTCCATGTCGACGACGAGACTTTGTCCTGGGACGGAGTGGTACAGCGCAGCGGGGTGTTTGGAAGAGTTATACGGCGGCTGGCAGCTTGCGCGCTCGTTGCGGAGGATGTAGTTCACGTACCGCATGCGTTTCGTCTGGGGCGCGCGAGTGGACGGTGGCTGGATGTCGCGGACCACGAGGGCGATGGCGGCGTGGAAGGCGTGCGTCACGGTCGCGCCGGCGGATTTACACGCTGTGGTGAGGCGGGCTGTCTGGTCTTGCGTGAGAGTGATTGCGACACGTTGGTGGCGGCCGGGGAGGAGTTGGCCGCGGCGGTAGGGCATGTCAATGAGTTGGGTGCCGGGTGGGGGGGTCATTGCTGCGGTCTTCTGGGCGGCCATTGTGGCTAGGCGTGCGGTTTGGGATTCAGTGAGGGTTGAGGGGACGTTGGCTGCGATGCGGTAGGGGGGGCTGAGGTTTGCGGCCTCGGAGCCGGTGAAGCTTAGGGCACTGGGGGTGTTTGGCGAGGAGAATGCTTTGGAGGCATGGGTTATAAGGTTGTTCAGGAGGGTGAGGGTGCCGATGCCGTCTATGATGTCGTGGGGGGAGCGGAGGACGAGGTCGCGGCGGATGATGTTGGTGGTGGTGGATGGTGGACTGAGGATGAAGAGGGTTGGGATCTTTGGAGCTGGCGGTTGTGAGTTGGCCCATTCTACGCCACTTTGGTCGGTGGTGATGGGAATAAGAGTCTTGTTGATCCAGGACTGCTTTTCGGCTTCGTCTTTGAGTTGGTGGTACGTCTTTAGCCATTTGCCTGTGGTGAGGTCCCGAGTGACTTGGGAGGCGATGGTGGGATGATCGTGACGCAGGGCCAGCCAGGCACTCTTGAGGGCCTCGCCGACGCGTTGAGCAGCATCGGAAGAGCCGCTGGTGCCGGTTGTGTCAAAGGTCAGAGAGACATGGCCAGTGATAGCGAAGAACATAAGGCCGCTGCCCTCGTAGAGGACGGGCATGGAGGCGTAGAACTCCTCAACTTCGTCGATGCTACGCTGCCATGTCCCAGGCGACGTTTGAGTCCAGACGAGTTCGGGATATGATGTAGCCATGGTTGACAAAAGAGGTCTCCAAGATGTTGTTGTCCACGATGAAAGATGCACAGGGGTGGGTGAGTGACGATCGCGGGGTAATCAGAGCATCAGCCTGGCAAAGTCAGCTTCCTGAACATGGTGGCTTTTATACATGAACATACCCATGCCAGCTACGTTTGAAGCCGCGATGTCGGGACAGCAGCCGGTGGCCAAAACCATCGGACTATCGTGAAAGCGCATTAGATTTCAATCGGGCGTGGGGCGTGTTCGGGTTGAGAAGTCACACAGCTCCCCGTTGCTGGCTGTGATTCCCAATTGGGAGATGCCCCCCGCAGACCCCTGGTCTCACTAAACCGCGCTACTGGTCCAAAACGCCCCGGGGTTTAGCCATAGCGGAAAAACATGATCCACCCCCGCAAAGGGCGGCCATGAGTGGCCACAATTCTCCAGAGTTCATCCGGCGACAACTTCATCGATCCTCGAGACTGGCCGTCTTTCCTGTGCGACATTTCTCTGGCCTTCAAGAAAGTGACTCTAAGGCAAATCTTTCATAACAAACGCGGATAAATGGAAAGAAAGGCACAACACACACGCTCTGTGATTCGTGCACATTCAACGAGGGTTACGAGGCAAAAGCAAGAGAAACAACAATGGCATGCATGAGAAATCGAACAAATGTGGAGGCGATGCTTGAGTCTTGTCGAGAGGTCTCGAGTCAGTTTTGGTGAGCCCTCGCGATTTCACCCAAGCCATTTCCCTCCGTCTTCTGATGGTCTGGTAAATAAAAATGACTGTAGAGGTAGAATTGCCGCCATCCTTGGAAACCATGTATTTATTCAAAAAGCGCTCAGCTACCAAAAGTATTTTACCTGACTTCAATCTTTCTCACTGAACCAACTATGTGACCTCAAGGCTCTCTGTGGGTCTCTGAATACGCCCATGATCAAGAGTCTTATTCCGTTGCAAAGAAGGGTTTTACCTGATAGGGAGTGATAATACTTTCCTCCAGGCTCTTTTCACCCAGGCAAGCCAGCGGCACGGGTCGCGTTTTCTTACTAGCACCCCAACATCGAGCTCTGTCCGCGACATCCACACATCTCATTCTCGCGACCACGCGACATCAAAAGATTACCAAGATGGCGCTGCGACTTACACTTCCCTTACGCCCTCTATGGCCTGCACCAACCTTCGTGCAGTAAGTATCTATCTTTCTTACGGAAATGCTACGTTCCCATTTGTTGAGCTTTTGATACTTTTTCAACGCTTTGGAAGAACCCATCACTCAATTATTTCATAATACTCCTCTCTAGAATCTCTAATCTCCTTCATGTTATCATTTTTTATGTTGTGATTGGACTGATGATTTTGCAGCGAGCGCGACAGTCCAAAGAGTCCAGTTGAAAGCGAGGATGAGGACGAAGAGGCAAAGAAACCCGGAGCTGCCACCGGAGCAGAGACTACAGCCGACAACAACGAGAGTCTCGTGGACATGTCCTCACTGAGCAAGGCCCTCCCCACCCAGAATTATACCGCCCACTCCAACTTGAAGGGCCTGCCCGGTCTCGATTTCGGCGTCGCCTTCCATGCCCCGATCCTCGGCTACCGCTATTCCGGCCTCATGGCCAACGTTATCTTTCCCTTCCAGGAGAAGCGGTTCGAGCCCTCTCAGGGCGGACAAATGCGTGCTGCTGCTCGCATCAAGGAGGTGATGGATGTCGGCGTCCGAACTTTTGAGGAGAACTCCGAGATCCTTACCTTGCACGAGGTCTGTGAGCAGACGTTTGGGAACCTTCGAATGGTTGAGCGGTCCTGGAGATTCTCCTTCTCCCTCCCAAAGATTACACACATCGTCCGCAAGATCATTGAGGCGCGCGAGCGTCATCTCGACAAGAACAATGGTGTCACTGAGACTGCCTACTTCTTTTTCCCGTTCTTGAAGGCGATTGACAACTTCCACGAGAAGGTCTATAACGTTTTGCAGTACCGACAGCAGGACGATGAGGTCAAGAGTAAGTCATGACAGAAACGGAAAACAAAACACCTTGAAACTTTGATGATTGACAATGTTACAAACAGAGAATGCGAAGCAGTCCCGCGGTCTCAAGCGTTCCCGCGACGACGACTCCGACACCGAAGGGGTGGCGGCATCCGTTAAAAAAGCGCGCCAGGAAAAAGAGGAGAACGACAAGATCGCGGCTTTGCCGCTCGAGGAACAGGTCAAGATTCTGAAGGCCAAGGAGAAGGACCTGAAGACCAAGCTTCACGAGTACGAGTGTAACTACCGTCATGAGAGAGATGCTCGCGCACAAGCGGATAAGAAGTGGATATCCTATGTCAATCAAATTTGGGAGGTTGTTCGCCCTGCCATCAACAGAAATCTGAAGGCCCAAGGCGAAGAGGATGAGTGGGAGGAGGGCAATCTGCAAGGATTCCTGCGCTGGCATCATCTTGATGATGCGGCTAATGCTTTGCTTGGTATCGAACGCGAGGAGCCCTGCTCCCAGTGATACGCTGATGGCTCGGGTTGCTTGGTGTCGCTGAATGAGAACATAACTAGCACGACGTGGAATTTTTCATAGTGGTAGCAAAGGATTATGATAGAGTTTGGCTCTGTGTCTACGGAAAGCTTTGGTGTTATCCTGTATTGTGGGATGGAGTTCCGCATCTTGATGGGCATGCGTGAAACTTCAGGAGGCGGGGGAGGGCATAGCGGAAACAATGCATCATTACAGGTTTACCTCACAAAGCGGGAGATATTGGTAATGAACGCTAAGAAAACAAAAAGAAGACGAAAATAAAAAGACTCCACAATAGAGGATCGAACAAAAGATTAAGCAATTGATCAACTTGGCTCCGGAAGAACGGGTTCCACTGGCGCCCCCTTAACCCCTCGGCCAAGTGTCACGATGCACTTGTATTGATGTTGGGCATGGAAAAAAAGCAATATTAGTACCCTGCCCGGTATTCGTGTAAGGTGGGTAGATAGGTTCCTTAGGCATACCAGAAGAGTCATGTGATGAGTCGGTAATCCTAGGCATCCTCGAAGGAGGGCGGTGAAAGGAAACAACAAAAAGTAAAAAAAAAAAAGGATGTTTCCTTCCTCTATATGGAATTGAACAAAAGGTTAAGCGACTGTTCAACTTGGCTCCGGAAGAACGGGTTCCACTGGCGCCCCCTTAACCCCTCGGCCATGTCTCTCACATCGCTTGATGACAGGATCAGAGGAGAATGGAACCAAGTACCCTCTCTCGTTGGGGAACGTAGTTATCCTGAATAGTGCATTTACTTCGCCGCCCAGCCCCCGCATCTGCAAACACTGTCTTTCATATATCATACTCGCACCGGGAGTTTGTTTGCACGTGGGACACAACGATTGACGAGTTTTGTGCATCGTATCAGTACAAGCAGGGAAGTGATATACTACAACATCGGACAAAATACATCTAGTAATCTAAGTACTATTCTTTCAATCTATCGAAGATACTAAGAAGGCGCTCAAGGTTGTGAAATTCAGTTCCATCTACAACGGAGTGGAGAGTTTGGAGGAATGCCGGAATCAGATTTGAAGCAAATCAACACTCCAACGAGTCCAGATCAAGCTCCTCCTTCCTCCTACGAATCAACAGCGTCGCAGACGGATCCGGCAACAGAACCATCCCGTGCGGCACCATCTGCGGCTTGAACCCATCCGGGAACTTCCAGTCGTACTTGAGCAGCAGATGCGCCAGCGCAATCTTGACCTCGTTGGCGGCGAAGAAGCGACCGGGGCACGCGTGCTGTCCGTGGCCGAAGCCGGGGTGCTTGGCGCTGGTGCTGACGAGGTGCGCGTTCTTCTCCTCGTCGGTGCCGCGCATGTTGAGGAAGCGGTAGCCGTCGTAGGTGGCCGGGTTCTCGTAGTAGTTTGCGTCCCACATGTGGGTGTTTGTGGCGATGATTTTTTGGCCCTTGCGCAAGACGAAGCCGTTGGAGAGGGTCACGTCTTTCATGACGAGGCGGCGCCAAGTCGCTGGTGGGAGGAAAGGCTGTTAGAGATGGAATCCGAATAGTTTGGGTTTTATGCTTAGAGAAAAAGGGGGGATGGAACTCACAGAGCAGGACTGGCTTCATGCGTTGCGACTCCTTGATGACGCTGTCCATGAGCTTGAGATTATACAGCGCCGTCTTCTTCAAACCTTCCTTGCTGAGCACGCGAACGAGCTCATCGCGCAGAGGCTGAAACAGTTCAGGGTGCTCCGCCAGATCAATCATGGTCTGCGTGAGCAAATCGGTCGTGGTATGGATCGCGACGAGCGAGAGGGAAATCTGCTGCGTCGCCGGGTCCGGCTTGCGCGAGGACTCCTTTTCGAACCACTCTACCGCGTCATCGAAGACGGCCCCCGTCTTGCCGGCGGCCACGGCCTCGCGCTTGCGCTGTGCGCGGCGCTCCATGTGCGGCTGGAGGGTCTTGCGGCACTCGTTGAGGAGGGCGCGGACGCGCCAGCACGAGGGGAGGAACCAGTGGACGATGGGGCGGGCCCAGCGGGGCCACTGGCCGACTTCGTAGCCCACGCCGAAGGCGGCGGCAGTGTATTCTGATGAGACGCGGACCCATTCCTCGTCGCGGCAGAGTTCCTCGCCGGCGAAGACGCGGGAGGAGAGGCGGGAGACGATGCGCATGATGTCTTGCTGGGGGCTTATCTTGTGCCATTCTGTATCACGGAGGTGTGAGATTCCTGAGAGCTGAGAGCTAAAGTTTCTGGGTGGCAAGTTTGTAGGGTAGACTCACCAGTTGAGTCGGTGAGGACATGGCGGAGGACGAGTGTCGACTCTTCGGATAGGGGCTTTGTAAGCTTGGCTGTTTGAATACACGATTAGTGGGGTCCTTTCAACATTGACTGAGGAGTCTTCAACTCACTCAAAGCTTTTGTCAAATACTTTGTGACGACCGTCGGAAGCGCTTCGTCGCCATCAAAGGCCTCGAATCCGGGAATATAGCCGTGCGAATCCTTTCAACAAGTCAGCTCTCCTACTTATCACTAGGGAAAGAAAGGAAAGGAGAACGGAGTCAAACAGAGGGAATCTTTTGCCTCACATCTTTAGCAGGCTCCACAAAAGCCAGGTTGGGATTACTGCGAAGCTCGTGGATAAAGTCAGGGGGCAAGACCAAGCAATTGCCCCATTCCGTCATGAGCTTCCACGGATTGTCGCCAAATTTGGCCCTCCCCTTGAGCATGAGCTCCTTGCTCGTCTGGTAGAACTCGAGGATGCGGCGCGTGTTGGACAACTCAAAGGGCTTGAGCGGGTTGATCTCGGGGAGTTTGGCGCCATGGTCGCCGAGGGCGTAGGCCAGACTGACGAAGAGGACGACGGTGGCGACATAGGCGATGGGCTTCTCAGTGGGCGAGGGGATGGTGTACGGCGCCCCGCCCAACTCGAAGGAGAAATTGGATGACATGTGTGCGCCGAGGGCAAAATGTTTGTCTTATGGTTGTTGGCTGGTGTATTCGTTGGGGGCACGGTTGCGTTCGTTGATCCGATGTGTATGTTTTTGTAGGTGCTGTTGATGAGGGTGTTGCCTGGATCGATCATCTAAAGCCGGACGAACCGTTGTCGGTATATATCCCATCTTTTTGGCTGTGATCGTCGTCGTCACGACGGACCTTGGCGAGTCCGCCATTGTGCGAGATGTACGACGGACGCGAGTGCGAAGTGGGCTGGATGATCTGGTCGAGTCTCGAAGGGACCCATCGTAGAGACCGAACCCCGTCAAGAAACATGACTACGGCGTGCAGACTGCTAGATGCATGCTTCTCCTGTGTAGTAATAATACGCCGTGACGTCGCAGAGCTAAGCTTTCGCGCCACAGAGCGGATACGCTAGGGCGTCCCGTTGTTCCGCCCGCCACCCGAAAGGTACTCGGAAGATTAAGCTGCATAGCTGCAAATCACACCAAACTCTGAAAGATTGTTATGTACTCCGTAACTTACTTGACGGGGGACTTAGTCCTGTATCCGCGCTTCCCACGCATTCCGCCTCGCGTTCGTGGAGTGAACTCTCCAGGACTTCTGGTCCACTGTCCATCTGCGGTGGTCGGGTCCTGGCCGCTGTGTGGATGTGGTTCAATCGGCAGTCGTATTCGTATCTCGGGGGGTTCATTGCGGTGGCCGCAACTGCCCGATTGTGGGGTATTAGTGTCGATCTGCCGCTGGTTCATGCTTTGACTTGCGATTTACGACGCTTTATTGCTGTATTGACCAATCAGCAGGCTCTGATTTCTGGACTTCTGATGCAGGACTCGTGTGAATTTGTGGATCTTCTGCCTTGTCCTTGGAGGTTATCTTGGCTTGTCGAGTCGATAATAGCAAGCGAACCTGCTTGACATGAGTCGTGGCCAGGAAGGCGCTAGGATCAAGATTCTCCTTCCGAGATATTTGTAGCGTTTATATACAATTCATGCCGCACAGCCGAGTGACTGTAGATATTAAAACGGTATTACCGCATATTTGGGTAGAATAGGTTAGGAAGAGCTACCAATTGAAGTCCTACTTTATCTGCCTATGCGTGCTGCTGGAGTTTTAGCTTGCGAACTCAAGGGTCCGAAATTCATTATGTGCGGAATTGCGACCTCGCTGGTGGTGACTAGATTCGTCTAGAGGGACCTACATAGTAACACCATTAATAACTTGAGGCGCTAAGAATCACTCAACGCTACTCTTGTAATAGTACGAGAAATGTTGCGCAGTAACACTGCAGGAAGATGTTACAACCAGGCACGTATGAAACTTTCAGCGTCACTTGCGTCATAGAGGCAATGGCTTCAAGAGGCATTTCCCTTCGGGTTCTCAAAGGACGCCGTTGGCGGATCGGCCCGTGATACGCGTCTCTCAAATCATCCTTCCGGCACTTGAGTGGGCAAGGGCGAATGCCAAAAACTGCATCGGAGTTCCTTGTGCAACCGCTCACTTTCGTCAGGGGTCAGATTCCTGCTACCTTGCACTGGTCACCTTCCGGACTATGGTACCGTCCGGTCTTGTGATACCATTCGGAGCGATGAGGACATCGGTTTCTGGTAGTACGGAGTACTTGTAGATTTGCGAATACGCCAGGACTCGGGATCGGAGGCGGCATAGGCACCCGGGGTTTAAAAGAGCGGCGTTTGATCTTGGGCAGCGCTACGCTAGTCATGTGAATCATGGGCATTGGTTCTGGACCGTCGGAGATCATGAATGTTACGAAGGACTTGAGATGCCACATTTTATTGTTGAGATAAAGCTATGTGTATTCACTTTTCGGTTTGTCAGTAGTTGCCAGAGACAAAGAATTTTGAGAACAATGTAATATTGCAACAACAAGAATAGTTGGCTGAACATGTCCATTCTCAAGTAAGATAGGCTCGACAGTTCGCCCGGTTTTGGGTTTTATTTACCACATACACGACAATTCGGCGCTTCTCCAACGGATTCGCTGGACTAGCCCTCGTGCAATTGTCAAATATGCAGTCACCAGATGATTCCTAAGCGAGATCTGAGTGCGCCTCTTTTACAGCTACGTGGATGCCGAGTCCCTCTGCCAGGCAACCTGCAAGCTCTCCGAGCAGAGTTTTCTTCGAAACAAGCGCTCGCCGGTTGAGCTTCTGACACGAGATGCACTGGTGAAGAGCCAGTCCGCCGAGCGGACTAAAGTAGTGTCCATCATACCTGCCAAAAGGGTTACGTGCCCGGCCTTGGCTATTCGCAAGAGGAACGTGATTACAAGACTTCGACTTGAAGCTCGGTGACACTGAAGGAAGGACTTGAGGCATATGATCGAGGCCTGCCTACAACAGGGAGGTCCAGCCTGTAACAGCATTACCTATTTGGGACAAGGAGCTGTTGAATGCAGATGACAAGAGTTAGAATCAACAAACACCGTCATCGCAGGGACTGTTTCCATGACATCGCGCAACGGCCCTGGCGGAATTGAAAGGGGGCCTACATTCAACATGATAGTCCCTTCAAGCGCCTAGCCGGGGCTATCAGTTCGCTCACTCCCTTACAACGGCCTCATCTACCTACCTGGCTGATAGCTTTTGTGAATGGTGCGTCTCGGCCGCCGGGTCAGCTCAGTGAATGTCTCGGAGATGACCATTATCAATGCGACATCAAGTCACATGCTTGCGGAATTGAGCTATCACATCCGAAATGTGGTGGTGTAAAGCCAGAGATCCTCCCGAATCTAATCTTGCAACAAACTGTGCTCGGAACCAGGTGCTGTTTTCTGCTTGATTTCTAAGCCGACATGATGGCACCATAGTGACGCTGAAGTGGGCGTCGATGGCACAATTGATAACCGAGATCCATTGAATGAGCAGCTGTGACAAAAAGAGAATCAAAAGCATGGAAAATTGAAGAAAAGGGACATACATGGAATAAAAATCATGCTCGAGAAGCTCGGCTCAAGCTGGTAAAGTTCGGACCGAACCGGTCAGCTAAAGGGTGATTCAGTGAAGCAATTGATGAGTCGTACTAGCTTGGTGCACGATGCTTGGTGGCTTGCAACCAGTCATATCCGTACCTATAGGATCGGTACTTGCTTGGATGCTGGATTAGTGTTTGTTATGAGCAAAGTTACCTAGGGAAGTCTACATGCCAAAATCGACGCTACCGCTCCCCAAGTCCCCTCCCTGAGCCTGGAAATCTTTATCCTCCAAGTTTTCGAGGTATTGCAAGTTTACAGCCAGCGGTCAGCAATCTTCCCTTCTTTTTTTCTTTCTTGCTTTTTTTTTTAAAAAAAAAACGCGTCAAATCATCACTTGACGCGCCTTCTACAACGCTACCCTACATCGTAAGCCTTGCATACCCCTAGTCGATGGTGCTGGGCCGCCGCGCCCTTCCTTTGAGTACTGGACCAATGCCGCGCAAGCGTCGGAGTGGGGACTGTCAGCACTGAGAATCCTGCGTCACACGAGCCAAGCCGATGCCTAGTGAGATCGGAGGAACTTTCCAGGCACCCAACAAGCTTTCTGACAACCATCTGACAGCCAGGGTATGGATTGCGCCATGTTCGAACAACGCTTGCTGTAGACAACTGCTGTGTGCTTACAGCTGGCCCACGCAGGCAGAGTTTCGTGGCGCCGGGTGTTGCTTTCATTAGGTGTACGTGGGCGGTTGGTGTAACGTAAGCAGAGGAACCCCAAAAATTGTCCCAAGTGAAAGTCGTGTACTTGCTCTCCAGGTTGGGTAAGACGACGCGCAAGTAACGACAGACAGCCGAGCCGAATGACGGAGTAAAAGTCGGAAATTACAATTCACGGCAATGCACTTGATCTGCAGGTAGGTGCGTGCATGCGAGTCCTCGATTGCCTGTTCAAGTGCTTTTTCCTTGCAATGCGTAGTCCTTTTTTTTCCACAGGCACCGAAAAAAGATGACGGCACAAAAAGCGCAGTCGTATCTGCTTCCCCGATTAGGCAACGGTGAAGGAGTCACTCACTGTATGTAAGTGTGGGTCGCACCTTACTCTTTTTTTCTCTCTGAAGGTGAGGTGGAGCTCAGTCAAGCCGGACCCGCGTACCTGGTCCGGTACCCACACTGCCGCGAGTCCGGGGAAACATTTTCCTTCCTGCTGTTGATTTCCAATGACTACGAAATGCACATCAGCCTGCGATGTTATTCTTTTGGGACAATCTGACATATAAAGCACCTCGGTTTGCCACCAACATGGCCGAAAAAAGCAGGCAACAATTTCAACCTTATCCGTGTCAACGCATCATGTCTGTCAACGCCGCCCTACCCCCGTCCCAGCGGGGCCAAAAAACAGCTGGATCCCGGTCAGATTTGATGGATGACCTCAGCAAACGGCTTGAGAGCAACCCGTATGATGCGACAAGCAACCCCAAGGGCATCATTGATCTTGGGTCCGCTGTCAATGAGATTATGCTGGAAGACTTGGCCTGCTGGACGAAGCGAAATATCAAGAAGAGCCAACTCAAGGAGTGTAAGTGATTCCGCTCCAACGCTATTCAGCACGTCTACGCAGCTAGCTCGCTGATGCCATTTCCAGCCCTTGGCTACGGTGACGCCCAAAACTCCCAAGACCTCCCAAAAGCAGCAGCAGCTTTCATGAACGAACACTTCAAAGTCCGCCTACCCCTAACAGCCGACAACATCCTCGCCGCAAATGGCGTGACAACACTCCTCGACGCCCTCACCTACAACATCACCGACGCAGGCGACGCCGTGCTTCTCGCGACGCCCTCGTATGGCATGTTCGCCCACGACGTCTGGACCCGGAACGGCGTCCGCGTCGTTGAGGTACCATGCGACGACATCCCCGAGGAGCGCTTCTGGGGCGAGCCGCCGCGCGAGGACGGGCCGGTGCCGGTGCCCGAGCTGGTTTTCCGGCTCGAGAACGCGATACAGGTCGAGTTGAGCCAGAAGCGCAAGGTTGGGGGTGTGTTGCTGGCGAATCCCGACAAC